TTTCCATTATATTCTATTGCATACCCTTCAGCCATGATGATAATAGCTTCCATATATGGATTGCGTATAATGAGCCCAGGCTTTACTTAAAAATGTCATTTAATCCTCACAATATTAAGTATTACTCACATTTTGCCAACTGGGAAAATAAGATTTCAACAAATAACATTTCCAGGATCACTCAACTTGCAAACAGCAAAGCTGAAATTCGAACCTAGGTTTGGCTGTCTCTAAAGCTGCCAAGCCACTAAGCTTTTAATTACTAAGCTCTTAACTATCATGGCAGTGGTTCTCAGAATTTAGGGCGCATCATAATTACCTGGAGGGCTTGTTAATGCACAGAATTCTGGGCCCTGCCCCCAGACTCTCTGATTCAGCAGGTCTGGGTGAGGCTGAGAATTTACATTTGTAGCAAGTTCCCAGATGATGCTACTGGTTGGGGGATCCCACTTTGAGAACCCCTACGCTGCTATGCACACTGCCCACCCCTCTTCCCAATTGTACTGAATTACTACCAGCAAAAATGTGTTTCATATGGAGGGGGAAGGTCTTGAATTATGTTTTCTTACATGGCCCATTTTAAATGGGTTGTATCCCATATATTATTCAATATAACTTTAAGGGGAAGATTATTTTGGCCATAGGGTGGTGCTGGTTTCAGGATTAAATTCAGGGTCCTGTCATTTTTATTACATTTTTCTTTGCATCATTTATGAAAACTGTTCTCTCTGTCATCACCTATACAGTGGGGAATGTAATACCTATCTGAAAAGGGTAACAAAACCATTTATTAATTAAAGCTGAAAGTTCTCTGAGATTAATTGCCTCCCTCATCTACTTATTTTCTTGCTTAGGATATCTCTTGCTTTTAAGAAGTTGATGATTTCTATATGATTCACATTTCTAAACTTAAGTATTGTTGGGGAGAATCAGTCCTTTCAAAAGGATTGCCCCCTCACTTGACCGGTCATCTCCTCATCTTTTTCCCCAACCCCCATTTACTGGTAGCAGGTAGCCACTAATCTCTTTCTTGGCCCCCTAATTATTTTATTTCACAAATGTTATATAAATGGAATAATGCAGTACATATCCTTTTGAGGTTGGCTTTTAAACTGAGCATAATTTCCTTGAGCTGGTTGTGTATGTCAATGGTTCATTTTGTTTTATTGCTGAGAAGTATTCTAGGCTATAGATGTACCACAGTTTGTTGAATCATGTACCCATCGAAGGACATTTGGATGATTTCCAGGTGGGGCTATTAAGGATAAAACTGCTGTGAACATTCATGGACAAGTTTCTGCATGAAGATAAGTTTTCATTTCTCTAGGATAAATGCTCAACTGTGCAATCGCTGGGTCATGTGCTGAGCCCATTTTTAGTCTCATAAGAAACTGCCAAACTAGTTTCCAAAGTGGCTGCACCATTTTGCTTCCCACCAGCAATGTCTCAGGGCTCCACTTGCTCTGCATCCCCATCAGCACCTGTTCTCATCTGTTCTTTTGATTAGAGCCATCCTGGTGGGTGTGAAGTGATATCTCATTGTAGTTTTGATTTCCACTTCCCTAATGACTAATGATGTTGAGTATCTTTTTCATGTGCTTATTGGCACTTTGTATATTTTCTTTGGACCAATATCTATTCAAATCCTTTGTTTTAAAATCGGATTGTCTTTTTTATTGCTGATTTGGGAGAGTTCTTTACATATTCTTGATAAATGCTTTTTCTCAAATTTATGGTGTGCAAATATTTTCTCTTGTCTATGGGTTGTGTTTTCACTGTCCTGATGGGTTTTGGGAGAGAGAGGAGCCCAGTCTTCTGGACTCTACTCCCCTGAGCTTCTATAGGCAGAACTGGTAGGGGTTGGTCAGGTCTGGCTCAAATGCTCCAGGCACTCAACTGTTCTTACTGAGATTTGGTAGATTCTCTTGAATGAATGTTTTTCTATTTGTCATTATGTCCTTCGAACAATTTCCAGAAACTTCAAATGAATTTTTAAAAAACGATTTTTACCAGTTAAATTGTTTTGCTGGGGAGAATGGCCAGAGTTCCTTACTGTGTCATGCTGGAGGACCTGTCTTCATAGTCTACTTTGTAATGAAAACATCCCCAGAAGATCTTACACCTTAAGTTCTCATCAGTATTTTCTAGTTGTTGGGTGATTCTTCGATGAGTTTAGCAACTAGAGAAAGATCTCTGCACAACATTTGCATCACTGGAACATAGTACTTCTTGAAAGAATGACTGATAAAGCGAGTGAGTTGAAGAGTCTGGCAGGAGGGTGGTGTGGGCCAGGTGAGAACATCAATATGGAGAGGGGCCTGGTCCACAGAAAGTCTGAGTGGGAGGGCACCAAACACATATGTGGCCCAACTTGATCCATCGTCTGCCTCCCTTTTGGAGCTTCATTACTCCTTCATTTACTAGGATGACATAGTAATAATTTACTGGCTCATTGTCCCTGGAGCCCAAAAGAGTTTGAGCATGATTAGAAATCTGAAAATCATTGTTTAAGTTATGCATGTATACTGTTTGTGTCTTTGTGTGTCATCATGAATACACTTGTTCATGTGTATGCATGAGCAGACATCTACATACATATAGGCATATATGTACATGCAATAGTTATGGAAAACTCTGGAGCAGTGGGATGTTCCCAAAGGACATTCTTCTTTCTTCCTTAACAATCATAACAAAGGAAAATGGAGTGTCAAGCAATCTTTAGTCATCTAGCCCAGCTGGCTCACTTGGCAGATGAGAAAACCGAGGCCCAGAAAGCTCCCGTGTTGTGTTCATAATCTTACATGTGCCTAGTGGGTTCCTGATTTCTGCAAGAATACTCACCCCACATCTTCTGTTAACCTCTTATGTGAAGGAACACAAGCTTCAATCACGTAAGCTTTATTTGCTATGTCAGCAAATACTCCATCCTACCACTTAAAAATTAACACCCAGGTGAATTTTTCCTCTAACTTTTCTGCCTTTTCTCTCCCTCCATTCCTTCCCTAAAGTAAATTCTGCACCTGGCAACTTTGAAACTTGTTACAATCCAGAACTTTAATAGTGTCTTACATTTTTAGCAGCCTAATGACAAGGATGTAGGACCTTCAGTGCTAGCCCCTCAGGGGTTTTCTATTCTTGGCATTTATTAAACTTTGCGGTAGCCTGAAGTATATTTGACCCTTTTTATACTAAAAAATTGCAGTTTAAACTTTATGCATATATTTGTGTTATGTGTGTACATATTTCCCTCTTCTCCATCAATTAGGTAGAGATTCAGACCTTATATCAGTTGAACTTGAACATACTTGTCAATTTTCCCTCTATATTTGGTGACCAAAAGAAGCCATTAGCATCAGAATTTAATATTTTTCTTATTTAGCTAAATTTGAGCCCTCTTGAAACTCTTTTCTACTTTGAAGTCTATTTTGCAGTTTAATTAATGCAGCAAGGGTTTTTATTTTACTCTCAGTTGAGATAATCTTAATCCATTCACGGTGACCTTTTCTTGTGCAAATTAGTTCTACACGCTTGTTTAAGCAAATGGCCCTTTGCATGATGTCTCTTCTTAATGACGGGTTTATAATTGAAAATTGGCTTACTCCCATACGCCTAGTTTGTATGAGAATATAAAAATAGATGTGGACTTTAAAAATATAAATTTATATATCAGGATCCCAAAAAGAGGAGGGAAGAATCCAGTGCCTTCAGGCTATGATTAAATTAGACTATTAGAGTCAGAAAATGCTGGTGACATATGCTGCTGTCAAAGTCACACCTGTCTGCGAAGCATTGGAAGCTCTTGAAAAATGAGTGATTTCATCTTAGCTCTGAGACTCCGGGCCCTACGGGACAGGAGCCATCTCTAGTTTCCCAGGTTTTCTTAAATTCAAGATGAGCCTGGAACTGTGTGGTTAGGAATGTGTTTGTGGAAATCACTTTCAAATGAATGACCCTAAACAAAATGAAATACTCCTCCTCTTTCCTGCACTTCACCAGCAGAAAGACAGGTGACACTCATGCTATATTGTGCTTTTTTTTTTAAGTGCAAAACCAGTGTTTTGCCATTAAATGGTATTTGTATGGAAGAAATAATTATATCTTGGTATTCCTCTTGCCCCATTTCTTAAGCGAGCTCCTTCCCCTGTAAGGCACATTAGCCACTCTTATACAGGAGTATTTATCTAGGGAATTGATTTTCAACTGGTGTGCTGCCACATACCAGTATGTCGCAAGAATACTTAAAACATGTTATACCTGATGATTTATTTAGTCAGGGGTGATGACCTCTTTTCCCTTAGCTTGTAAATAAAAAATGACAGTAGCCAATACAACAATAGCTGTCCAGTGTAAATGAATCAAAATTATACCTTTTTTTTCAAATCAGAAAAAAAAATATAATACTTTTTTGGTGTGCCACAGGATTTTAGTAATTAGCTTTATGTGTGCCAGGAGATGACAAAGGTTGAAAATCGCTGGCCTAGGGTAACTGAATGTTCTTGGTTAAATGTAGAAACTCCAGCTTGAAGGAGAAAATAAATGTTGTTTTGTGCTTGTAATGGTGGTTTCCTGAGTAGGTTTTAATAGCATGGTTTTGTGGGGTGAGGAACAAGAACAGTCTTAGTTTGGTGAATGACATGGCATTAAGAAAAAAAAAAAACTAGCAGAGATTTTTTTTTAAGCTTATGGAACAGCACATTTCATCAGGATACAGAAATCTAATTTTGGAAGCAAAGGCTGAGCAAGCCAGATTATCACTGGGACCATCAGACTTGCCTTAATGGGCTATTTGCAAAAGACCCTAATAGCTTTGTCCAACATGAAGGTTCAAGCTTGTTGTCCATGCAACAGTCCCCAGGCCCCCATGGAAAAGGGAGAACTGCCCGCCTGGGGTAGCTCCAAGTTGCTCTGGGAATTTCGTGCAGGTGTGCATCCACAGGTACTCATTCATCCCTCCATCCCTACGGGTCTTCGTTGGCTGACTGCTCCTCTTCTCCTTCTAGGTATGATTATCGGGAAATGCTGCACAATGCCACTTTCTGTCTGGTTCCTCGTGGTCGCAGGCTCGGATCCTTCAGGTTCCTGGAGGCTCTGCAGGTAAGAGACCCCAACACTTCCCCGGAATAGGGCTGAGGACCGGAGGCCGCTGCATGGGTTGAACCTTAGCACTTCTCCTGGGATCTAAACAGAGTGCGTGATTTGCCTTGAACACCTGAGATCTGTTTTCCCAAGAAAACATGCAAGATTTTTCTTCTGTGGGGGCAGGAGGCGGATTTCTCCCTGCCTTTGGACAGGAGAAGACTAAAGGGTTTCACCACCGGAGAGGGTGGGTTCTACAGGGACATGCTTTCAAACAGAGGCCAGATTTGATTGCAGCCACGCAGCCTCACTGGGCTCCTCCCAGAGACTCGGCTCTTTTCCTAGAAGCCAGTCTCAAGAGCAGTGGAAATGGCTTACGGGTCGTAGTCACCAAAATCAAATTGCCTGTTCGGTCCCCGCTCCCAGTCATCGCTCCGGCCCTCTAAAATGTGAGAGCAATGCCAGCAGGGTGGTGCATGGTGGTGCTCAGTGGGCCCCACACTTCCCAACTCTGCCGTCCAGAGGTCCCGGCTGCAGCTCCAGACCTGCGTGGAGTCTCTGCTCGTTAACCGCACTCTGCAGAAACCTGACTGTTGTTGAGACTGTTATGCATGTTTCTACCTGGAAGTTGCAGCCTTCAGAAAGCACGCCCTCAGCCGCCTCCTCCTCCAGTCCTCGCACCCTTGCTGCCATGTTTTCTCCTCTGCAGTTTGCCTGAAGCTGTGCTTTGTCACCGGCTGCCTGACTTCCGTCACTCTGCCCTGTCCTCCGGCAGCAGAGCTTCCTTCTCTGAGCGTCTCATCCAGTGCTCAGTGTGTTCTGAGAAGCACAGGGTCACAGTGTGCTCGTAGCCTCTCAAGGTGTTGACGGAGCACAGTGAGCCCTGGTTGGGATTATGTGTATCTGGACCCAGGATTTTGTCATTAGCCCGGTGTTTTGGGGCTGTTGGGTCGCTGTGCAGGTAGTCAGTTGGTAAGCAGTGGTTTGGGTCCCTCCACACTGAAGGGAATAAAGTTCTGGTTCAGACGTTTGCAGAACAAGGGAAAGGTGGACACCCTGTAGTAGTTACGTCCACAAATGCTTTGTCAGGAAGCCGAGCCCCACCCTACTCTGTTGCTCATGACATCTGGGGTAAGCCACTGGCAGCTGACGGTGGCCGTTATTCTGACAAAACCGTTTCTATCCAAGGTTGGTTTTATGCTGCGATGTTGTTGGTGAAAGATTTTGTTACATCAGTACAACTTCTCCAGTGAGGCCAGTCATCTCCAAGGAAGTGAGGTCAGCCAAACCAAGTACTAGAATAGAAATGGGGTTTTAGCATTCTAGGGCAAGACTTGCAGATATTAAAATCTTGGCTGGATACATACGACCTTCATGTGACTTGACAACTCATGAAAGCTTACTGTCCTCTGGCCTCAGCAGTCCAGGATTCATGCGATGTAAGAAATGCCAGTGATTGGATTTGTACTGATTTCGCCCCTGATTGGAACGCTTCCCGCTGTCACTCTCCTCACACTCATGAAGTCCCCTTCTCTGCACAGGCTGCCTGTGTCCCTGTGATGCTCAGCAACGGATGGGAGTTGCCATTCTCTGAAGTGATTAATTGGAACCAAGCTGCCGTCATTGGCGATGAAAGATTGTTATTACAGGTAAGGAAGGGGCTTGGCCTTCAACAGATCAGTGGATTATTGCTGCCCCCATCCAGTCTTCCAAAGAAGATGAATCCAAAAGGTCAGCTCCATAAAAGAAATTTTTATCAGGAGAAAATGGCCTGTGTCATGGCGAATATGAAGTCATTTAATATGGCACTGTGCACTTTGCAACACAGAATCTGCCCAGGTCCGGGGAATATGTTAGAAAAAGGAGAAGTTACAGGTAACGGATATGAGCTCTAATGGTGAAGAGGGCTGTATATCCAGCCCCTTCAATATCTAGAGTTTCTAGAAATGATATGAGAGGCCTTGTTCCATAGCCCTGCTTCATATTCCTTTCCCCTGTTTCTGTATTTGCCTTCAGATTAATTTTCAGGAAGAGAGCGGTCTCTAGGGTTGATTCACATAATTAGTGTTATTATTGCTCAAATGATCTACTCTGGGTACCTGAGTGAGCCTTATCTTTAAGATACCTAGCTGAAAAAGCAGCCTCTAATAAAAATGCTTTTTAATATGTATCTTTGGTTATCTAGATTTTTAAATTTAATTTCATTGTGGTAAGAACATATAATATGAAACCTGTCTTTAATATTGAAGTACATAATGCATTGCTGTTGTACAGCAGGTCCTTAGAGCTTCTTCATCCTGCTTAACTGAAACTTTACACCATGAATTAGTAACTCCCCATTTCCCCACCCCCGGCCCCTGGCAACCATCAATCTACTCTTTAATTCTATGAATTTGACTCTTTTTGATACCTCATAGAAGTGGAATCATGCAGTATTTGTCTTCCTGTGACTGGTTTATTTTACTTGGCATAATGTCCTCAAGGTTTATAGATTGCAGAATTAAGACAATATTGTTAAAACATCCCTATTACCCAAAGCAATGTACAGATTCAATGCAACCCCTATCAAAATCTCAGGGGCATCTTTTATAGAATAGGAAAACAATCCTAAAGTTCATATGGAACCACAAAAGACCCCAGATAGCCTAATCACACTTCCTAATTTCAAAATATATTACAAAGCTACAGACATCAAAACAGATGGTTCTGGCATAAAGACAGACATACACACCAGTGGAACAGAATACAGAGCCCAGAAATGAACCCACATAAATATGGTGAACTAATCTTTGAAAAGGGATCTAATAAAAGTTTGAACTTCTTAAGAGCTACCTGGGAGGGAGGTACAATACTCACAGAGAAATCCGAGAACAGCAATTATTGGTCACTAAGGATTTATCTATAGCCCCTTTGAGCAATAATATTTACATTCTACATAAATTGCCATGCTCCTTTCTTGAAAATTACAGAATATTTTAATGCTTTCCTTTTGTGGCATTCTGTACTTTATCTTGAATTACCACAGATATGTGTAGAATGATTTTTAAAAATACCCTCGCATTTTTTCATATCCACAAAATTGAGTGTCTAACTCTGTCATTGATCCTATTTCGATGCCGCTAGCCAGTCTGCTGGCTCCTGGTGAAGTGAGGCAGTAGTCTCCTGAAAGTAGCAGGTGAAACATTTATAAGTGAGAGGACTATGGACTAGGCAAGCTAAACCCTGCTTCCAAAGCATTCCTTCTGTTTGATTCAATGTGACCTGAGTAGCCTCTGGGATCTACAAAACGAAAGAGGCATTCATGGTCTAGCAGCAAGTGTCCTTCCCACACAGAGATGGTGTGTGTCTAAAATATTTACTCAGGATGCCTAGCCAGCGTGGCTCAGTGGTTGAGCGTCAACGTATGAATCAGGAGTCATGGTTCGAATCCCAGTCTTGGAACATGCCCACGTTTCAGGCTTGATCCCCAGTGTGGGGTATGCAGGAGGCAACCGATCAATAATACTTTGTCATCATTGATATTTCTATTTCTTCCTCTCCCTTCCTCTCTAAAAATCAATAAAAATATATATTATAAACAATTAAGATAACTTAAAAAATTTACTCATGAAAAACTAACCCAAAGTAATAAATATGTCTGTTTTTCATGGTACCCTTTTCCTTTTATGATTTTGAAAAATAATGCATGTTTATTAAAGGAAATTTTGGAAACCAAGGGTGTAAAAAACATGAGCCATAATTTCTCCATTTATCTGTCAATATTCCCATGAATTAGATGTTAGTAAATTGTAGTTTGTCTTTGACATGGAGAGCAGTGTAGGATACTCAATTGTGGTTGTCCATTTCCTACCATTTCACCAATGTTGATGCGTACTTCACCTTCTGAAGCAACTTTTTGGCTTGGATTGTGGTTTCTATTCCACACCCACCCGAACATGCTGATAGTCCCCCTCTCATATGCGTTCTGTCTTTGCACAGCTGCCTCCATATTGAACAATGACTGCACTGTCGTTGCCAGTGGTTTTAAAGAGCTGGCAACAAGCCCAAATGTCTGCTCCGGGAAATGTTTTTGTTATGTTACAATTTTTCTTTTTCTGTTTTAGAACAGCTTGGATGTTTTTATTGCATATGTTCTCATCATCCTGTCACCAAGAGAGCTCAGTGTGTCTTTTCCATATCTATTTTGGTAGATCCCATGAGCTTTGTTACCATACATGACCTTTTATTAAGACTTTGAGTTCTGCAGCTTCCCAAACCATCTGGCCAAATTGGAATTAATTTGTCACTTTTCCATACCTGCCTCTTAGGACAAGCAGATTAATAACCAATAGCCAAATGCCATTAAACCTTAGAACTTGTGTTTTTTTGTTGTTGTTTTTCAGTCAATTGGAATTATCTTCCGGAACACTTTGCAGGCGTAGTCAGATACTTGTATAGTGCACAGAAACAAGTAAAATATATTGCACTTGATGTAGGAGCATCAAGATGTGGCTTATATAAGAGGGGAGTGTATTGGTAGGTTACCCATGATATTCCCTTTCTCCTATCGTAACCACAGCCGATCCAGTCTCCTGGAGACTACATAGCAATAGCGCTCGGCATTTTTCTAATGGACTGGTTCCTCATGACCATGATGAAACAGTGAAGTCGGTCTATAAGACTCTTAAAAATACCCCTGACATTTAGAAGAGAGACTGATTATGAAAATTCAGCAAGGTAATTTTTCTCATGTCTTTCTTTGGCAATCTAGGTAATTTCTTCGTAAATAAATAAAATAAATTTGCTTTGACTTGCCAAGGATTCATGATATGAATGGTTTTTTCTACCTTCTCCAAGGGTATGTACCTCCCATTTCACCTGGAGCGCTGGTTTCAGGCTAATAGTTGTCTGTCAGTTTCTCCTTTACCTGCTGCCTCCATGCTTCTTCAGTGTCGGGCATCCAGATACACATTGGGGGGCACACATTTGCTATCCTCTTTTGGATGTGGCCCTGACAGCTCATCCATCTGTTCTTATTGTGAAGCAGTTTTACTGCTTCTCTTAAAAGCAATGCTACCACCTTCCCCTCCAGTGGAAACTTAGAGGTAGTCTTAGTCACAGAGCCATGGGTAACTTATTAAAGCAGCAATCAGAGCATTTCTGCGTTAGCCCAGGCCCCCATATCTGGCTGATTAGTCAAGCATTAGGGAAGCAAGCATGCAGAAAGAGGTGAGCACAAAAGGGCACTTCCTAATCACAAAGAATTGCCTCTAAGACGGGTGGAGAACGTCTGGCCTGCTAAGGCATGAGGGGCGAGCTAATGAAACGTTGGACCCAATATAGCAGGCTCATTTTTAAGTTGGTAATTTTGTATGACCCTCAAGTGACGTTGTAAATATCCAAATGGCCCTTGGCAGAAAAAAAGGTTCCCTACCCCTGCGAAGGGTATAGACTCCATAAATGAAAGAAATCTCAAACTGTATGTGCAAATAGGAAGCCAGCCCAGGAAACTCACCAGAAACTCAAAGAAGAACTCCAGACTCAAGCAAGTGCACATGTAGACACTAAGCAGTCTGTCCAGCTTTGAATGTCATCACCCTATGTCAACAATGATCACATCAGTAGTAATTATTGCTCTATTAATTAAGCTTCCGTGTTCTGGGCCCTGTGCTAAGCACTTACATGATCTCAGTTACAACCTTATGATGTCAGTACTGTATCCCCATTTTATAAATGAGAGATCAAGTAACTTGTCCCAGGAAGCACCGCTAGTAAATGGTGGAGACAAGAATTCCACTCTAACTTATGTGTCCCTGTGCTTACCCATGAGCTGCACTGCTAGTAAAAATAATGATATCCCTGTCGTGGCTTCAGATGGCCATGTTCAATTCAGCTCTTATTTCTTAAATAACTACTCCCTAAAAGCCACTCTCCTGCCTTAACATGTGCAGCAGTATGGACAGGACATAGATTCCTCGTTTTAAAATTGTGTGGTGTGGTAGAGAGCAGTGATGACTAAACATACACGATGTTGGATAGCTTACGTTAGATTGGGTTGGGGTAAGTCCTGGAGCCAAAAAGAGGTCTGAGGAGCAGAACAGCTCTCAGGGTGAGGTCGGGGGCGTGTGCACATAGAATTGACTAATCCCAGCTTCAGGTTCATTGGAGAGGCTCAGAGACATTCCCTAAAAAGCCCTTGAGTAGCCCAGGGCTCGTGGCTCAGTAGTTCCGTGTCGATCTATGAAAACCAGGAGGTCACGGCTCAATTCCTGGTCAAGGCACATGCCCCAGTTGCTTGCGGGCTCGATGGGCTCGATCCCCATTGGGTGGTGTGCAGGAAGGAAGCAGCCAATCAATGATTCTCATCATTGATGTTTCTATCTTTCTCTCCCTCTCCTTTTCAATAATATATATATATATATTTGGAAAAAGAGAGGTCAGTGGGGGAAAAAGGGGACATATGTAATACTTTCAACAATAAATATTTAAAAAATAACACACAAAAAAGCCTTGAGTAGATAATTTGTTTCCCTGGCATGGCATGTCTCAAAAGGGTTTGGGGGATGAAGCCTTTCATCCTTTCCCCAAGTCCTGTAGCTCCTTCTCTGTAAAGTTTGGTTGTCCACGTGCAAGATCACGGATCTGTGGGACTCAGAGGAGAAAACAGTGACTGCTACTGTAAGAACATCCTACACGGCTGATAACCTGCTTCTGAGTCTTAGAGGAGAACTCTAATCTTTCATTAATTCAAGGTCCTTATTAAAGCTGATGCCCAGTAAGTGCTGTTTTGTACCTGACACCTTTTCAGGGTATTGTAACCTAGAGGTTGGCGACTTTTAGCAGATCTATATGCTAGAAGCTGAATGCTATAAAGACTAAAAAGCCCAAGTGGGTTATTCGATCCAATGGCATCATCACATTGTTTTCCACTTACAGTTATTATGTGTTCACCTTGTGTTACAGATTCCTTCTACAATCAGGTCTATTCATCAGGATAAAATCCTAGCACTTAGACAGCAGACACAATTCTTGTGGGAGGCTTATTTTTCTTCAGTTGAGAAGATTGTATTAACTACACTAGAGGTAAGTGGGACCACTTGGCTCTCTGATGAATAACGGCCCTTTATACGCTTCTCTTGGCCTTCTGTTTTGCTACTGGTGATGTGCTATTGGTCAAATGGGGCAAAACCGAATTTTCTGTGCTTGGATTATGACAGTTAACTCTTTTCTTACCTGCTCTGCCATGCCCAAGCAGATAACTCCATTTCTGACAAACCCAGGGGGATACTGACATGAGGAGAATTACACTCCTGACACAGAGATCGGCTCTGTCTTTCCTCATTTCAGGGATATGTGGCTAATGACTGCCTTCCTGCCATTCAGACTTACTGGCATCCTTTCAAGACATAGTTCTGTAGCCCTTTTAGAAAACACATAGTGACCAAGTTGGGGGAAATCTCCTACCATTCTAAAAATATGAATGATTTCCCGGCTGCCATAGTCCCACGGCATCGGGGCACAGCACAATTAATTCTCAAGACAGATACAACCCAACCAGCATCGATGTTGCAAAGATGTGTTGCGAAGAAACTCAGGATGACACCCGCCCGGTTCAGAAAGTGTTAAACATTATGAAATCAGAAAATCTTGCAGGCAGATGGGTGCCCATCTTCAAGTTGCTTTTTTTAAGGCAAGAGGAAGAAAGGAAAGGGAAGCGTGGGGATGATTAAAACCTTTGGAAGTAGAGCAGGTAGAGAGGCCTGAGGCTGCACCAAAGTAGCACAAAGAGCTAAGAAAAGATTTGGGAAACTGCACACTCCTGACTGCAGGCGTGTAGGCGGGGGCAGAGGTGCTGGGTGCGGCACAGCCTGGAGGGGATTCGGAGGTGTCTGTCTGCATGATGAGGTGGGGCATTTGTGGCCCCACTTTCGGAGTATTTACTTTGAAAAAGTGATTACTGCTCTAAAAGCAGCACTTTGGAGCACACACTGAGAAGCCTGAGTAATAGGAAAGCTGAAGTCACCCTGTTTTGTCCACGTTGCTATCTTCTTACCCTCCTCCGTATCAGAGCCCACGCTGGGTCTGCCCCAGGCACAGCAGGCATTTACTTACCTACCCCAAGCCTAGCCTGGCTCCTGCTCTCACCTGGGGGCATGCCCTGGTCAGTGTCCTCTCATGGATGAGGTCATCCTGAAACTAGGTAGAAAAGGCTGTTTAGGACCCAGGCTCACCCCTGAAGGGTGTAGGGTCAGAATGGCTTGAGAAGGCTTCCTTGTCCAGCCGATGTGGCTCAGTGGTTGAGTGCTGACCAAGAGGTCATGGTTTGATTTCTAGTCAGGGCACATGCCTGGGGTTGCAGGCTCGATCCCCAGTAGAGGCATGCAGGAGGCAACCAATCAATGATTCTTTCTCATCATTTATGTTTCTATCTCTCTCTCCCTGAAATTAATAAAATATATTTTAAAAAATATTTTTAAAAGGCTTCCTTTTGCAAGCAAACTTCTCTTATGCCTCCAAAGCACTCCCTTCAATTAAAATGGACTGCCTCTTTTCTGCTCATAGTAGCAGATTTGAATATGTAATAATTCTTTTCTTTGATCCTGTCCTCCGCACAAGACCCTTCCTAGGAGTAAGGAAAGTTGAATATCATTTTTTTTTTTTACTTTTTCCTTTTGGAATAAGATGCTTTTTTATCTATGTAAATATGTTGTCATTTTTTATTTAAAAAAAGAGTCTTTCTGTACTTTGTAATATTTTTCAGCTTCATATATTGTTAATATTTTCTGTTATTAGATTATTCTGTAATTATTTTAGTAACTATGTAATACTCCATGATATCACTCAGTTTCTTTAATAAACCCCCAATCTGAAGATATTACCATTGTTTTGGGCTTTTTATTATTATATTCATCGTTAAAGCAAGTAGCCTCAGCACAGACTTGCTGGGCAGGGTGAAGACTAATTCCTTAGGATAAATTCCCTGAATTCTAAGACCTGGTTCAAAGAATATGCCAAATGTTAAGCTTCCTAATGTGAATTCTCAATTTTTCTGTCATAGAATTGCACTAATTTATAATCTCTCCAACTTATATGAGAGGATTTGTTTTGACCTTTAATTTTTATCACTTTCACTAATATTGGGCATTATATCTTTAAAAATGATCCATTATTATTTTCTTAATGTCTATTTCTTAGGATGAATATTTTTCAGATATTTTCTTGCTCGGGAAACTCACAAAGAAAGAAATAGAAATAGCCACAATGTTGTCCCACTTTTTCTCATTAATTTTTAAGGCCTTATTATATTAAAAATATTAACCCTTTGACTGTTTTATTGCAAATGTCTTTCCCCAATTTCTGGTATGCCTTTCTATTTTGTTTATGATTGGGCAATCTTTTCGTCTGTGATTTTCCATTTGCTATGGTTAGAAAGAAGTTTTCGACCACAATTCTATTTATATACACGTACAGATTCATTTACGTTTTTCCAGTACTGTCATGATTAAGTTTTTACTCTTAGCTATTTAATACAATTTACTTTTATGTATGATCTGTGTTGAAAAATCTAACTTTTTTTTTGACAAATTGTTGTGTAGTTGTCCCAATATATTTTGTTGGTATTCTCACATGCTACTTTTAGGCATCTTGGGTCTGTCTCTAGCTTTTTAATTTTCCCCTATTAGTTGTCCACTCTAATACACCCAGACCACATGTTCTCTCTTTTTTTTTTTTTTTTCACTCTGTATGTCACCTTTGGTGTGAGCCCGTATTTATTTACCCAATCTGCTATTGTTGACTATTAATGCTATTTCTAATTATTTTTTTATAGATAGGAATATATTCAAGCAATGGCTTTCTATATATATCATAACTACATCTTTATTTCTTTAATATGGAGTTCTTGAAGTGGGATTACTCAACCAAAGGGTCTAGGCATTTCTAAGGCCATGATCTGTGTTGCCAAATTACTCTTCAATCTAGACCAGGGGTGGGGAACCTTTTTTCTACCAAGGGCCATTTAGATATTTATAATATCATTCCCAGGCCATAAAAAATTATTGACTTAAAAATTAGCCTGCTATATTTGGTTAATCATTTGTTAACTCACCCCTAATGCCTTGGCAGGGCCAAACCAAATGATTTTGGGTTGGAGGTTCCCTACCCCTGATCTAGACACACAAGCCGTCTGGGGAAGACCCTGGCTTCCTGCATGCTTGTCAGCCCTAAGGAGCATAATTAAAACACAAACACACAACTTTGCTAATTTGCCAGGGGAAAGATGGTATCTCATTAATTACATTTCTTTTGAGTATGGTTTATTGCATAGATATGGTCTCTTGCCTATTAAGTTAGCAGGGCTCAATTATCCCTTAATAACAGTTGAATGTGTGATATTCAGAATAGGAACTTATGTCAAGCTGTGTTCATCTCTGTGCCTGGAAAATGCCTTTTTCCCCTTGTTTGTAAGCCACGTAGTTCTTTAGCGACACAGTTGTTTTGAAAACACTGCAAACCATATACTTCATTTTAATTTATAGCAGCTGTCACATCTCTATATATAGTCTTGAGATTAGATTGCAACAACTTGACCCCTTAACCGAATTGCATGAGCGATACCATCCAGTTTCCCTTTTTAATTCAAAACTCAGATAACCCAGAGCCCAATGTAAACAGAAAAGCAGAGAAACTGGCAGAAAATGCCTTTCACATACAAAAATAAACAAAGTCAGTATGTTTGTAAGAATGACTTAAGTAATGCATATCAAAAATGCCCACTTAGCTTAGAATGTAGATAATATGTCATTTTATATTATCTGGTCCCTGTTGGAGCTCCTAAGGCTTGAGGATAATTCAGAGTTACCCGAAGACAACGGACATTTAAGGGTCCCTGGCTTCAGTTTGTTCTACACTCAGACTCCTTCCGTGCCTGCTGTATTCTAGACCATGAGAAGGGGATACTTAGGTTTGGAGGCTATGAGCCTTAGAGATATAGGTAGTGCTTAGACACAATTAAAAACAGGACACCTCAGTCTCCTCTCCAATGCCAGGGTCAAGTTGTTAGTACATTCTATTGTGCTGCACTCTGTCCTATTTGGGATTCAACTTAGTATTGTATTTCCATTGTCACTAAAGTTTCCTTATTCTGCATCTTGGAATTAAGGAGCTATTTAATAAGAGCTCAGTCTTTTTGGAGCTGAGTTTTTGTGTGTGTGTGCAGAGTGACAAGTAATGTTGGGGACAGTGATAAAATACTGTCAAGACAGTGTTCCTTCCTGGATTTCATTATATGTCAGAATACTGCACAATAGTAAACCTGGCACGGAGGGTTGAACCATAGGAGCCCCGTCAGAACCAGGGTGAGCAAAAGAAAAGTGTATGAGATGATAATAATATGTGAACACAGCGAACAGCAGCCTGGAAAGCACATTTTTCGTGGACTTTCATGAAGTCTTCATTCTCTAATTTTCTCTTCAGTTATCTAACCATGCACATTGAAACCATCACCTTGCTGATGCTATTGTACAATGAAATTTTAAAATCAATGAGATAATGGAAATAGGAGACTGCGTTGGCCTGGAGTGAGGTGACATATGGTGGCACTGTGGGTATTAGGTAATATTGCATGGGTCAGAAGACCAAGTCAGGACCACACGGAATGACCGTAACCTGTAATCAGTAGTCCTTTTTTTTTTTTTTTTATGGCACAGGATAAATGAAAAATAAGGAGCCTGTCATTCTTCCCTTTGAATTCACATTAATAGGAAATACTATTCTTTTTGGGGTGCCATTTGGGATTGTAATTTTAAAAATATTGTACTATGTGTGTGTTTGTGTTTATGTATATCAGATACATATTCTTCCAAACTTTTGAGAAGGCAAGTTGTTAGGAACCTTTCAGAAAGACATTTGCCAATGACATGAACTGCCTTAAAAGTATTCATACCGCTTGACAAAGTCTTAAAGAATCAATCCTAAATGTGGAAAATTTTAATTCATAAATGTGTTCATTACTTTGCATAGAAAAAATCACACTGTTGTGGGTCATTTAGAAAAAGTAAACCATGAATACCGTTAGTAATATGAGGAGACATCTATAATATATAACATCTATAGTATTATAGCTGTGTAAAAATGGAAAAATCTATGCCTAGAAAATGAACACAGGAATGAGATTTTTTACTAATGGTAAAAAAAAAAAAATCGAGTCTTAAGCATTAATACTTATGCAGCTTTTCCTAATGATTCTGAGGGGTTATTATAATTAGTATGATATTTTATTGTTTTATTACAAATGAGCAAAGTGACACATGAAGGTGGCCAATTGCTTGACCCAGGTTAAATTGAACATTTGCTATTGCTTTCATACCTTTGCTGATATCTTCCCGTCCAGAGCCATTGAAGAGAATATAATATGCTTATTGGTATTTCAGAAGTACTATGGCTTATTGTATATCCTTAAATTAAAAAAGATAAAAGTGTTGTGATACTCAACCCAAAAAAAGTCCATGATGATGAGAAGCATACCACCCAGAGAGCTGGAGTGGTGATCCGTTTTGTGATCTCTGAGTTCCACGTCATGTCTATATAGGTCAGATTTATGATGCTATCTATTCTCCATTTGCTCTGTGTCTTAATATCCAAACTTGTTTAAGTGACCACATGCTGGAAAGTACATAAATTTGGAAAGAAAAAAAAAGGGAAAAAATAAAAAGCTTTAAAAGAAACTAAATAGCCCTAGCCGGCTTGGCTCAGTGGATAGAGTGTCAGCCTGCAGACTGAAGGGTCCCAGGTTCAATTCTGGCCAAGGGCATGTGCCTGGGTTGCGGGCTCAATCTCCAGTGGGGGGCGTGCAGGAGGCAGCCGATCAATGATTCTCTCTCATCATTGATGTTTCTATCTCTCCTCCCTTCCTCTCTGAAACCAATAAAGAAATATATTTAAAAAGAAAGAAAGAAAGAAAGAAAGAAAGAAACTAAATAGACAGTGTATTTGGGCAAGTAATTTAAAAAATCTGGAATAAATGGTTTACAAATTGAGATTGCTTGTCATGTAAAAACCCTCACAACCATGATATTTTCTCATAATTAGTGCCTAGACAACAGCATTTTAGCATTTCTCTGCTATACCACAAAGAGTAAACATTAATATTTTAGTTAGGTTTCTGAAATCACCACCACATTAGAAAACCTTTACCCAGCCATATAAAATTAGCAATTTTGATCTGAGGGAAAGAAAAAACGCAGAAGTCATTGAAGTAAGATATTTGAGTTCTTCTAAATTTCCTCTCTGCTCCCTTTTTTCTTTCTCATTAAGAAATATAAACATGATAAGGTTTGCAAAGATAAATGTAGCTCACTTTATTACTTATCCACTCACCATGTGGGATGAAATGAGGGTGTTAATAACCTTACAAATAATAAAACTTCATTTAAAATGGTCTGTACTTAAAATCACATTGCATTAAATGGGGATCTGGGAAATGATGATTTCGGTTTGAAATCTCTTGAGACATATGGCAGGCTTCTTCTTTTTGTTCTTAAGTAGAAAAAATAAAACATTGCTGAAAACATGAAATTCTGTATCGAGTTAATTATTTGCCAAATCATATCTTAATGAGTGGTTGGTATAATTACAAGAGTTTGAAAGTCACAGAGAGAAATCTGTAAGGCGGATTAATCACATTCATCTGACAAATGATCCAGGATGGGAGAATGCTTGACTCTAAATGTAGAATTTAATGATCTGCAAGGTCCCGAAGTCCAGAGAAACTAATGAACTAGCTTGGCTATTATTAGTCTTCATATGCCACAGCCCTTGTCCTATTATGTAGGATGTTTTAAATAATTGTTAGCTCCCGACTTTTTGAGATGAAATATAGGAAAACTTCAGCTAACCAGTACTCCAAAAGTTCAACAGTTGACTTTGAAAGAAAAACGAAATAGGACAAGCAAATAAATCTGCCTCCTGAATTAAAACCACAGACCAAAACCTCCACAGCTTCTAGAATGTGTCACACCTCCAATATGCTTTTAGCTATGTCTTCATATGGTCTGTGTTGACCTCTCTGTGCACAGGAACAAATATTCCTGGTGTGGACGCAGACCCACTGTTAGATGCTCCCCTGCCCAAAGACACCATTCCACACACCATGTTTTGAAATGAGCATGGACTTCTTATTCTAGAAAGACTCTATAGTATTTGTGGTGAAACTGCAGTTTAAGCTAGGAAATTTGATCAGTCCTAATTCCTCTTTCTCTCTCTTTCTCCCATTGTTCTGTCTCTCTTTATGTTTCAGACACTTTTTATCAGTGGAGAATTGGAGGGTAGAGTCACTACGTTGAGTGTCTTCTTCCCTCCAAAGGCATTGAGCACGGTCCTCATCAGATACCGTCAGGGTCTCGTCCTCACCAGGTGCTGTGTTTTTGTTTTCTAGATTATTCAGGACAGAATATTCAAGCACATATCACGTAACAGTTTAATATGGAACAAACATCCTGGAGGGTTGTTCGTCCTACCACAGTATTCATCTTACCTGGGAGATTTTCCTTACTACTATGCTAATTTAGGTAAGTGGGTTCCTTCCAGGGAGCTACCCTGGTGTCACCTCCATCTGTTGTCCAGAGTTAAGGCTCCTTGATTTTTCTATTCCACAGCTGGGTCTCCCTAACAGCCTGCATTGGAGATTGCTGATCGAGCCCTGTCATAAATGGTGTATCAAGGTCAAGAACGATAAATCCTGCAGAGCATTACAAAATGAAAAAAAAATTAAAAAACACCTTTCTTATCTGAACAGCTACACTTTTTATTTAGTAGAGTCATTTCTTTTTGAGAAATAGGTTTCCCAAATTACGCATCATTTCGAACTTGGCAATGGGTTAGCTATAATCTTAAGTCTCATCATATATAAAATGGAGCTAGAAGATCTCACCCCAGTATTTTTTTTTTTTTACAATCCCAACTTCTCTGTCTTATACCAAAGAAAAACTGATTGAACAAAGAGAAAGGGGAAAGATTTAAGAATATCTGACAAGGGAGAAATGTTATCCCTCATTCACCATTTATTATGCTCCTCTTATGTGCTATGTTCATGCAGTGCTAGGTGATAGAAATAAAAAGTCCAATGAGATACAATCTCTGCCCTCAAGCAGCTTTTAGTGTAACATAAATGAGGCAAAAGGAAATGGGAGGAAGGACAAACATCTACGAATTGGCACCGTTATTGCCATAGATATAGTATGTATGTGTGGCCCCAGTCGCTCTCGTGTGAGTAATATCTTGGACATTTCCCATCATTCACAGTTTCAAATTTGAGAACCTGGTTTAGGAAAGCATCTTTTGATGTAATAAGGTAAAAGACTCCTAGTTTTACCCAATGCTGATGCTCTCTACTACCTTCCTTTTTTGAGTTGTGCATATTAGCTGATAAGAAGAAACTTATACAAATGTGTGGCCTGATGTATCGACCAGTGACAAAGAACACTTTAGTCCAAACCAAACATGGTATGGAGACCATATCAAAACCAGTGAGTGGTCCACACTGAGGAATATGTTTAGAATTTAGTGATTTTCAGATTAAGGCAGTATTGGTAAAATTCCTACATAGTTCTTATAGAGCATTAATAGCTTCATTTGGAGTTGGCACATTAGAAGTGTGTAAATGATGCTCCTTAAAGTGTTAGTGAAAAAAGTAAAAAGCTGGAACTTGTCCTCGCTGTTAAAAAGCAAACCCCTTGCCCTGACCGGTATGGCTCAGTGGATAGAGCGTCGGCCTGTGGACTGAAGGGTCCCAGGTTCGATCCCGGTTAAGGGCACCAAAAAAAAAAAAAAAAGCAAACCCCTCCATCGTATTGATTTTTTTTCCTTGGCAAACCCGGAATGTATATCTTGATAGTGGGAAAGTTAGCTTCTTTCTAACATGAAATTCAAGTACTAATTGGATGATAAAATTTTCTCTACAAACATTTGTATAATCCTTTAATATACAAAGTCTGATTCTTACCTTTATCCCATCAATATTAAAGCTTAACTTGAATGTCCCCGCCCTCTTTTATTAACATTTAAGCTACTATAATGCAAAATTAGAGGGTCTAAACTAGTGAAGTTTTAAAACACATTTTTACTGGTCTCTGGCTTCTTAGTGAGTTCTTACGGAAAAACTCATTAGGAGGAGACACCATCCCACTTCTTTCCCTTTGGTGGCAGCTTTGTATCTCTGTGATACCTTTCCACTGGAGGTCTCAGAGCACACAGCTGGTTGAGGTCTGGGCCGCACACTTTTTCTCTCAGTATTTCACTGCTACACGAATGAGATTCTCGGGAGTATAGAGGCTTCCATTCCACAGTAGTGATGGTGGAGGTGGTGGTGAGGACTGCAGCTACCAGAGATGGAGCACTGATTGTTCGCTAGGTCCTGTTCTACGTGCTTTGTATGCATTAACTCATTGAACTGAATTCTCAGAACACCGCTCCCCCCCACCATGTTTGATATTATTATCAATCCCATTTCACAGCTGGGGAAGCATAGAGGGTTCTGTAATTTTGCCAAGATCCCACCACCAGGAAGTGGCATTCAAACCTTAGCCAGGTTCTGGATTCTGTTCTTTTAACCTTTACCACTTGCTAGTTAATATTTGAAATGGTATTGATCAGGCAAAAACAAAAAACAAAACCCTAATTACATAATTACGGATAAGACACATGCAAATTCCCTGGGAGAGAGAGAGAGCACATTTACTTAAACCCATATTAAGATGTGACTAGAGTAGACCCTTTCTTGAGTTGAGTGTGTGTGTGATTAGACCTGGGTGCCTGCAAAGCAGAAGGAAGATCAAAGGTGCATCCCCAAGGGAGGGAAAGATGTCAAAGGAAGAGCCTGGAAATGGACAGTGAGCTGTGAATGAGCGAGGTCCCTGGACTCAGGCAGCAGGAAACCAGCAGCTTTTCACCTTGTTTTTGTTCTGTCAGGACCTAAGAGGCAAAGGAATAATATGCTGGAAGGGAACATTAGCTCCAGGGCGAGGCGGCAGAGCAAGGAGGAGTAATTTTCCATGTCTTGTTTTCAGCGCTTCATTAGGCGCCTCTCCCCTTTCTGTTTCAGGTTTAAAGCCCCCCTCCAAATTCACCGCAGTCATCCATGCAGTCACCCCCCTGGTCTCTCAGTCCCAGCCAGTGTTGAAACTGCTCATGGCCGCAGCCAAATCCCAGTACTGTGCCCAGGTGAGTGGGGTCAACCTGCCTGCTCCTGCCTAGTGGACTAGGGTCTCCCAGTCCTCACCTGCCGCTGCACCCTCTGCTCGCTGGGAGTCACAGAACGTCACGTCTTGCTCCTCCCCTTTCATCCGTCATGCCTCGTTATGCCCTTTCCATCAACGTAGAGGCTCCTAAGAGTGAAATCCGGCACAGGTAGCGGGCGGGTTGCAAAGAGATCTTTGCACCGGGTTAAGGGATTAAAAAATATATATATACAACAACACATTTTTAAAAGAATATAAAGCACATTATTTTGTTTTTAAACGTCATGGCGATAAAGTAACATCAAAGGTACCACTGGGAGATCCCAGAAAACTAAGTTTCCACAAAAGGAACAGACTTGTCGGTGCCAGGAGGTGTCAGCTTTTCTGTCGCAGTAGCCATGACCAATGGTGACATTGGGAGCATAAGATTCAATCTGTGGTAACCGTATTTGGCAAATCAGCATCTCTCCCATATGCTGTTATTAACAGTGGTTTTTCTCATTTGTAAATAGCTTATAGAAGAAGGTTTACAAGTGAGAAAAGAATTAAAATAATTTTGAAGTATCCATTTTTGAACCACACACACTTATTAGAAATAACGAAGTCCCATAAAATCAGCAGCCATTCTGGAAAATGGAAAACATGAGTTCTATCTTGAATTCTTTTCTTTCTCCCACTTGCACTGCCTGGTGTAGTGCAAGTTCATAGCCAATGTCCCGTTTAGTTTTAATTTGATCAGTGTCATTATTGCTCTCATCTCTCATAAGATATCAGAATTTAGGAAATCACTTTATTAAGATCTGGCAACCCTGATATTACTTCTTTCCTCTCCAACGTTCTCCAGACCCCTGGACGTAATATTTCTAGGCTATTCTTTAGTTGATGAACTTTAAAATCTGTTTTGATGTCTGTGGATCTGCCTTGCTTGGATCTCTTCTCTCTCTCAGAAGAAACGTTGGGTTGGAGGCCTCACCAAGCCATCTAATGAACCCCTATTCCTTTCAGATCATAGTTGTATACATCCAGCCTCACCGAGCCGTCTAATGAACCCCTATTCCTTTCAGATCATAGTTCTATGGAATTGTGACAAACCCCTACCAGCCAAACACCGCTGGCCTGCCACTACCGTGCCTGTCATCGTCATTGAAGGAGAAAGCAAGGTAGGACTGGACAGGGGCCTGGGTGTGGAACCACCACAGAATCTGCGTTTCTCCCCGGGTGCTCTGGGTGTTGGCCCTAGATGTCTTCCCCCAGCTGCTGGCCCTGGACTACTTTTCCTAAAACTGTACCTGTCTCTGGACATCCTCAGCTTTCACAGTCATTGGCTTTCGAATTAGTGAGTCCTGGATCCCCACTACTAACTCCTTAGGAGATTTGTGACCCTGTGCACACTTTTTTCTCCTCTTCCTCATCTAGAAGCAACAACACATACTTCTTAGGATTAAATGGATCCCGGGCCTGGCAATAGTAATCTGCCTATAAATGCAGAGGATGAAGATGGGGCTGCTGATGCCTGTGGTGATACATGGGGTTTGCTTAGCTGATGAATCTGAGTTAGTTGTGTCTTTCATGTGCTTCTTCCTCACATTTATCTTTAAAAGGACATTTTCACCTGAATTTTGATGCCTCCATCAGAGACTCTCTTGAGTGCTGCCTAGCTGCCCCCTTCCCCGCCCCCCGCTTCCATTCTCCAATTCATTTTGCGTAGAACTGAATGATCTTTTTTTCTTTTAATTGACACTCTTGAGGTGAGATTGGTTAATAAAAGTATATAGTTTTAGCTATACAATTCTAGGATACACTCTGTATATTGTATTGTGTGTTTACCACCCCAAGTCAAGTCTCCTTCCATCTCCATTTATCCCTCCTTTACCTTCTTCTACCACCCCCCACTCCCCATTCCTTCTGGCAATCACCATACTGTTGTCTGTGTCCATGACCTTCTTAATCTTCTCATGGCCCATAAGGGAATCTATTTGCTAATGCTTTAAATGAACATTTGAAGCCATATATAATCCGGTTCTCTCTCATCGCTCTCCCCAAGGGACCCTGTCCTCTGACCACATTTGATCTGTGTCCTCTCCTACCTCTAATTTTTGTCTTTCCCCTGTGCTGTAAGTCTTGGCCACCCCTCTCAGTTCCTCATGTCTGTGGTCAAACTCGCCATCCATTGGTTAAGCCCCTGTTCACTTGCTGCCTTCTCTTGGAAATTCTTCCATTATTGGAAGCCAGGCTCGACTTCTTGTTTCTCTAGCTTCTGCAGGTTGCCTTCTGGTATATCTGATCCACTGTGAAGAAATCAGTCGCTACTAAATTAAACTGAGATTGGTGTAGCATTGGCTCTAGTCATCATAGGCTCTCGTGTCAGACTTACTTTTGTGTGACCCAAGACGAGTTATTTAATTGTCTGTGCCTCAACCTTCCTTTAGTAAATGGAAAGAATCTTAACACCTAACAAACAGAGTAGCTAAAAGGATCAAGTGATAGGATACTT